AGCGCATGCGCCCTATAGCAAAAACCTCTCCAAAAAAAAAAAAAAAATGTCCAAAAAAAAAAAAAAAAAAAGAAGAAGAAGAAGAAAAACAAAGATACTACATTATGGGCCTATCACGTTGGTCACATAGGTATAAAAACCTGAGCTGAAAAAAGTCATAATTACATTTGCCTTTGGAACTAAATGCTGGATATATTTTATATCTGATGAAAAATACAGTAAATTTAAATATAAGATGAGAAAAATGTTTTCTCAGAATGCATATTATTTCTTTCTCCTGATTTTTCCTAACTGTGGTATGTAGTATACCATGATGGATATTAGATTTTTTTTTCTTTTCTATTTTGTTTTTTATTAACAAGCAAAATAATTAAAAACAAAAATATGACAACCTTAAAGTTGGAACAGCAGTAAGTCAAACTGCTGTTGGAGTTCATGGATGTACTGGGGTACATGCTCCCTCAGTGCGAGGCAGGACGTGGGCACATGACTGTGCATTTAAGGTACATATATGTGACCAATAAATGGAAAATACTGGAGAACAGAAAGCATTCGGAAATTTTCATCAGGCCATCCCAAAATGCTCTGCTCCTTTCCTTTTCTTTGCTTCTGTATCCTCTGTAGTTCCAGTTCCAGCTGAACTTATGCTCGCCAGACAGACAGAGAGAGAGACAGAGAGACAGAAAGCGAGAAATCATCCCCCAGAGGGGATGGTCACACTGCAATCCTCCTCCATTCTCCTCTCAGGATCCTGGGCACACACGCACATGCGCCTGGCGTGAGTTCTAAGCCACCGGGTCCGGGACGTGAACCACGGTTGACTACGTGGGAGTTCAGCGACATAGCCATTACGCTAACTGCTGGTTCCCAAAAGTTTTAAATTTTTTATGAAGTAAAAGTTTTATCTTTTTTTTTTTTTTTTTTGGTTGGTTGTATTTTTGGTGTCATAGTCAAGATTTAGGAACACTTTTTTTGGGGCTATTGGGTCCATGCACTTGCTAGAGAGAGGCCATGAAAAACCACATGCCAGGGGGGATGGCCACACTGCAATCCCTCCTCCTCAAGTTTCCTCTTGGGGTTTTGGGTATACATGCATATGTGCCAGGTGTGTTTCTCAAGTCACCGGATCTGGGACTCAAACTGAGTATCAAGCTATGTGGGATCTGTCTTAATCACCATGCCATGCTGGCCTGTAACCTATCTTTAATAGGCCATTTATTGTTCTCCATAATGTGACCTTCTACCCAACACAAACCTTCCACTCAAACTACACCATCACTGAACTTTCTCCATCACCATATGTCCGTCACCCCGTGTCCATCATCACATTTGCACAACTGTTCACACCAATGCCACCAACCAAAACACGCCCTTCTCCTTTTTCAGACCGTCCCAGGCCTCGATACCCTAAAAAGGGCGGATGGCTTTGTTTCCTTACCCACCACAAAACCTTTGCCCACTGCCCCTTGCACACTCTGTGTGCTTCACTATAGTACATCACCATCCATGTGTCAAGTTTGATAAGCTATTATTTATATCCTAATAAACTCGGAATATAAACCCACCACTTTGAGAAACTGCAATGTAGGAAATGAAGTGGCGGCTGGGATCACAGACAAAAACACATTTTAATAAGATTATATGAAAAGACAACTTGGCAGTTTCTTACAAAACTCAGCACACTCTTACCATATGAGCCAGCAATCATGCTCTTTGGTATTTACTCAAATGAGCTGAAGACTTATGTCAACACAAAAACCTTCACATGGATGTTTATAGCAGCTTTTTTCATAATTGCCAAAACTTAGAAGCAACCAAGATGTCCTTCAGTATGTGAGTGGATAAATAAATGTGGTTCATCCAGTCAATGAAGTAGAGTTCAGTGCTAAGAAGAAATGAGTTACTGAGCCATGAAAACGCATGGAAGAAACAAACACGTATCACTATATAGAAGGAGCCAATCTGAAAAGGCTACTTAATATATAATTCCAACTACAAGACATCCTGGAAAAGGTAAAAGTATGGGGATGGTGAAAAGCTCAGCCAAGGGTTAGAAGGCAGGGAGAGCAGGAGGAGTAGGCAAACAGAATTCTTAGAGCAGAGAAACTGTAATAATGGTTGATACATATATTTTAAAAAAATGATTACTTAATATCATTTTGTTTTAGTTTGCTACAGGGTACATACACTCACGAGAGAGAGAGAGAGAGAGAGAGAGAGAGAGAGAGACAGAGACAGAGATACAGAGAAAGTGAATGAGAAAACAAGTTGCCAGGTTTGGGACTTGAATCACTGGACACTGATGTGGGAGTCCAGTGCCTTAACCACCACGCCACCTGCTGGCCCAAGTGGTAGATACATATTATTATACATCTATCAAACCCACAGAATATATAACACCGAGAGTGAATCCTAATGTCAACTAGGGCCTTTGGGTGATAACACTGTGTCAACTTAGTCTCATCCGACTGTAACAAATGCACCCCTCTGGTGCAAGATGTTAAGAGTAGGGAAGGCAGAAAGTATATTGGAACTTCTGTACTTTCTGCTCAATTTTGCTGTGAATCTGAAATTGCTCTAAAAATAAATTATTTTGGGGGACTGGCAAGTGGCATCATGGTTAAAGATGCTAGACTCCCACAAGGCTGACCACGGTTCAAGTCCCAGTCCTGGTGGCCTGCTCTTCCACTTTCCCTCTCATAACTGTCATCAATCATAAACATAAAATTAAAGAATCTCAAACTGTCGTGGACCTGTGGGATACATCCCTAGACTAGGCAGGTCCACAGCCCTAAGTGTGAGAAATACTGATCTGTATCACTCAACATTTTCATATATACTGCCTGGAATGGTTACTTAACTTTTTCATGTTTGTCTCATTTTTTTCTAATGGTGTTTCAACCGCTTTAGGGAGTGTTTGTTTTTTCTTTCTACTATATATGCTCCAAAGAATAAGTTAATACAAGTTCATTTTCTGGGTTAGCCCTCTGGTCTAGTGGTTAAGGAAGCCAGGTCAGATCCCCACATGGTCAGCTGCAAGGTTGAAGACCTAGCCCAGCAGTTCTTTGAAAAACACACTGGACTTGTGAGTGTGCATGCCCAAAGTCTAGACAGGATGGAGAGATGGTGGAGAAGAGATTGCGGTGTGGCCGTTCCCCCGGGAAGTGATTTCTCACTTTCCCTGTCTCTCCAGAGAGCACGCACAACCTGTGGTGCAAAAACCTAAAAAAAAAAAGAGTCCAAGATTATGTGGTTAAGAGAATAGAAAGAGGATCCAAGACTGGGAGTTCTCTGCCCATTTGAAATGACCGATCCACTGTTTTGAACAGCTGAGCTTGTGAGAGCTATTCTAGCCTGTGGCATGCCCATTATCGTGGCATAACCACTTTAATTCTATTGGATTACTGACAGTGCTTACTAGAAACATTCCCAAGGGACCCAGCATAAACACAATTTTCAGTGGGGGAAAAAAGGTTTAATGTTTTAAAATAACAAAATTTTATATTAAATAAAATGTTACAGCTGGAACATCTAAGAACCTTCAGAAATGGGCTCTCTGTCTAGTAAAGCAGTTTGATCTCAGAAGAGACTGTGTACTTTAAGACATTTTAACTCATGGAATAAATCTTTGTATGTGCTGTTAATGTAATATGACATAAATTAAGTCTAATTCAGTTGGGGATCAGCAGGTGGCGTGGTGGTTAAGGTGCTGGACACTCCCACTTGGCTGACCACAGTTGGAGTCAGCCTAGTGATTTGCTTTCTCACTTTCTCTCTCTCTCTCAATTTCTGTGTGCATCTCTCTTTGGTCAAATTAAAATAAATGAATAAATAAATAAAATTAAGTAAATAATTATTTTAAAAATTTTTAAAAAGAAGTAAAAACTTTCAAAAAATTCAGCTCACACAAAAGGAGACAGTCAACTTAGGCTTTAATTAATTTTTCTCTGTATAGAAATGGATATATTGTACCTAGAAAAAAGACAGTTGTACACCAAGGCTGTATACCAAAGTATTAACTGGGATTCCTTTTACGTGATGGGCTTGTGAGTGATTAAAATGCTATTCTTTATTATTTTCCAGTATTTTCCAAATTATTACACTAAAATTGCACTGCAGGACCCGCCAGGTGGTGTGGTAGCTAATGTGGGTCCCACATGGCCGACTGCAATTTGAGTCCCAGACTCTGATAAAAGAAAACCAGGTTAAGGACCAGCATAAGGTGTAATGGTTACGTCACTGGACTCCCACGTAGTCAACCACAGTTTGAGTCCCAGACCTGGTGGCTCAAAACACACACTGGGGAGGTGTGTACACATGCCCAAAAATCCCAAGAGGAGAAGGGATTGTGGCATGGCCAACCTCCTTGGAGGTGATTTCTTACTTTCTGTCTCTCCTGCACATACCTTATAGCAAAAAATCTCTAAAAAAAGAACATCTCTTTCTAAAAAATATTACATCCAGTGTATTCCTGATAGCCCACAGGAATACACTGGATGCAATTTCTTTGGTGAAAAGTTTTCTCCTAGTCTGTGGCATGGCCATGAGTGTGGCATAATCACTTAATCATATTTCTTACAGGACTAGAGCACACACACAGATTCTGCAGTGGCAAAGGTTCTTAGGAGAGCCAGGAGGCCCAGAGAGCAGCATGGATGGAGATGAGTCAGGAGTCTGACTAATGAAATCAGTCATTTTAGTAATATGTCCAGGGGCCCACGGGGACAGGCAATGCAATTTTCTGGATGTCCTAATGATGTAAAGTGATATAAATGAAATTGAACTCTCTGAGTACAGCTTGTGCTTTCTTGGGTTCTGGGTTAGGCTTGCTCAGCAGGGTCCTTCTGGCAAGAGAGGAAGGAGGAAAACACAGCCAGTAAATCTTGCGCTTGCTTTGAATTTGTTATTTCTCAACCATCTTGGCTTTGTCCTACTTGAGATTGGCTGTGGCAGCTGAAACAATGGATGCTTTAATCATTTTGTGACCACAGCAAATGTACCTGTTTCAATCCTAGTGTCAACATCAGCCTTGACTTGCGATGCAGAGCTCTCATCTGTCACACCGTTTTTCATCGTCTTCTCCCTAGAGCTGCCACACAAAACAATCTATTTAAAATGTGAAAGAGGGGTCGGCAAGTGGCGTGGTGGTTAAGGTGCCAGACTCTCACATGACTGACTGAGTTTGAGTCCTTGACCTGGCAACTTGCTTTCTCTATTTTCCTCTCTCTCTGGTCAAATTAATGATAGTAATAAATAAAAATTTAAAAATAATTCTTTAAAAAATATTATGTAAATTAACAAAAGGAACCAGTAGGTGGCGTGGTGGTTAGGATACTGGACCCCCACATGGCCTGCTGCGGTTTGAGTCCCAGACCTGGTGGCTTGCTTTCTCACTTTCCCTCTCTTTCTGGTCAAATTAAAAATAATAATAGTTTATTATTATAATAATAAATATATAATAAAATTAATAATTAAATAAAATTAAATAATTCTTTTTAAATTTTAAAACTAAAACTAAAAATAATAAAATGTAAGAGGTCATTCTGAGGTCATCAGTAAATGCTATTTTGAAAACATTAGGTCATGGTAATCAGATATTTTTCACTGCTCTAGAACATTTTAATTCACCTATGTTTAACAAATATTTTTGTGAAAGTCATACTTTTAAAAAAGTGATAATATTTATACTAGGAATAATGAAAGAGAAGACTATAGTTCAGCCTTTAAAGTGTGAAAGTCAGAAAATTCAGAACTTAGATACTCTGTTTTCTTTTCTTTCTTTCCTTTTTTTTCTTTTTTTTTAATGGTTACTTATTTACTGGAGGGCATCTCCAGCAGGGTCTTCATGCTGCGACCCACCCCCAGCCTTGGCCAGCGGGGTCACGGGCACACATTTGTGCACTCACCCAGCCTATACGGGGAGACCTTGGGACTTCAACCGAGGGCCTTCTTGTGTGGGTCCAGTGCATGGTTACCCCCGTGGTCCCAATACTCTGTTTTCTTAACACAAGCTTAGGTTTGAATGACTGAGAAAGTTAAGATATTATCTTTCGAATAAAACCACTCAGAGGATACAGAAAGTAAAAAATATGCTAAGAATTATAGTGGAGATTAGGGCCAGCAGGTGGAGTGGTGGTTAAGGGCACTGGACTCTCACATGGCCAACCGTGGTTCAAGTCCTGGACCTGGTGGCTTGCTTTCTCACTTTCTCTCTCTCTCTCACTCTGTCCCTCTCTGATCAAAAATAAAATAAAATAAAATAAAATAAAATAAATAATGAAGTTAAATAAAAAATAATTCTTAAAAAAGAAAAGAGTGATAGTGGAGACAATTATGGCCATTAGTTAGAAAAACAGATACACCTCAGTATGTTGCTCTCAGATAAATCTCAGTCTGCTGAAGAGAGATACTTTTATTCCTGATCTAAGTATTTTTAGAACATGAGGACGATTTCTGCTGGAAAATGAAGAAAGTGAAGCAAGAATTCACTATGACCTTTAGAACCAAATTTTAAAAATAAAAAAGTAAATTATCTTCTTACCTTTTATCTACCTCTAAAAGAAAATTTTCACTGTTGCCCAACTGACTGAAATGCAACTTGGCAGCTTTCCTCTCGCTTTCACGTACGGTTCGGTCATCTGGAGGCAAAAACCGTGGTCTGAGCGTGGTTCTTTTTGGAGTAAACATTACTGGGTCAGAAAATTATATTCACAGAAGAAAAACTAAAGAGCAATCTCCTCTTTGTTTGTTAGAAGCAGGTCACACACACACACAAATGCCATTATGTTGTCACTGGAGCAAGTAGTAACTCAGGGAGACTTGAGGGACGCCATAGCAACAACTGCCACCACGGTGTCACTACCCCTTCCGGGAAGCAGAGCTTGGCCAGTAACCATACGAATGGCCCAATGTCAGGTTTGAATGCTGCATCCTTTTCTGAAGGAGTTTAATAGTCTCCTTACGGTGCCTGTCCCGGGGCCATGTAAATCCGAGTTTGTATAGTTAGAAATGTATACTCGGCACTAGAATCATAAGGAAATGTAAGCCAGCTCATTTGAAGGACTATTTCTTGTTTCTTGCCAACTAAGCACCCAAGAATTGTTGTTTTTGTTTTCTATTGCTACTACAGTTGTAAAGTTGAGGCACCTGGAAAAATAAATCTCAACCTGGAAATTCCGTATTGAGGAGGAAGTGGTGGTGAAACCATCAACTGAAGAAAACTAAAGCTGGAAGTAACTGATAAAATCATAGGTTGTCATTCAGTAAACAATAAAAGGACTCGTCATACATCCTGCCAACACAAAAGAGTTATATAAATATTGACTAATCAACAAATACATCCTGCCAGTGCATACTCTGGGCCAGCATCCAAAACCTTAAAAGGCAGCTAATTTTAAAGTAAGATTCCAGGGCAAGAAATGGAGGAGGGAGGCATCTCACCCAATTTCTCCAGAGTTTGTAGCGTGTACACAGCAAAGAGCCTGTAGTCTGTGTCTTTTCTCACAACAGGATTGAGTCTCAAATCCAGCTCTCTGAGGACGGGTAAAGGCTGTAGCCGGGAAACCTCCACTAAGGAAGGAATGTTGTTATAATATAAATTCAGGTCTTGGAGTGAACACAAATACTGGATGCCCTGCAAAGGAAAGACCACATTATGAAACTGCGCACTGGTAAGGACTAGGAATTTTATAGTTCAAAGCAGAGGTATATTTAACGCTTCCCGTTCTTAAGCATGCACGAGAAAGGCAGAGCTGGAACTCCGGTTTCGTTGCCTGAGCATAAAAGCACTGCAGTCTGTGGGTACTGGATGTTCTACATAGTATAATAAAAATTTACACATATAATTTATTTTCTCCTTTACAAAATCTGACATGCAAATGCCTGCAATCAATCCTCTACCTATGCTGCTCACAACCCTTCTCCCAGTCTAATCCCTCCCAGAAGCAACCAGGTCAAGCCTCTAGCTTCCCTCTTATCTTTGCTTTAACCATGCTCCTGACACCATAAGTGCTTTGATTTATAAGAGGAAGGGAGGAAGGGTAAAGAGTTGAGGGGAGGGAACCAGCAGTTAGCGTAAGGGCTATGTCGCTGGATTCCCACGTAGTCGACCGTGGTTCGCGTCCCGGACCTAGTGGCTTAGAACTCACACTGGACGCGTGTGCGTGCGTGCCCAAGATCCCGAGAGGAGAATGGAGGAGAAGGGATTGCGGCATGACCATCCCCCCTGGGGGGTGATTTCTCGCTTTCTGTCTCTCTGTCTCTCTCTGTCTGTCTGGCGAGCACACTCGCCCTATAGCGAAAACCTCTCAAAAAAAAAAAAAAAGAGTTGAGGGGAGAAGATCAGGAAGGGCATTATAAAATAAATGTGTACGTGTGTGCACGCATGCATGTGTATTGTGGTGTGTCTTTAAAGGCCAATGCTTCACTTACACAATCAATGGACTATCTGGGGAAATGAAACAATGCTATCTCCAAGTCCTCCCTCCAGGACCAGTTTCCGACCTCTCTGCTCTTCATTTCCCTCTTCAGGGTTACTTCCACCAGGCTAGTTCCCCACCCACCCATCTGGTTCTTGCCAGAAATGTTCTTCCTGGTTCAGTTTTCTTATGCATTTAGAACCCCACCCTCTACCTGACAACAGTACAACCAGGACTGGGAAACTTGAGAAGAAAAGTCACAATTTTTCTCCTCTCCTGAAACTTGCTATTGAAAAAAATTATTTGGGGGCCACTGCTGGCCAAGTCGTTAAGGCACTGGACTCCCACCTGGCATGCCATAGTTCAAGACCTGGACCCAGTGACTTGAAACTCACAGTGGTATGTGTGTGCATGCATAAAATCCTAAGAGGAGAATGGAGAAGGGATGGTGGTGTGACCATGCCCCCGGAGGGTGATTTCTCACTGTCTGTCTCTCTCTTTCCAGTGAGTGCACATACTCTATAAGAAAAATCTCTCAAAAACAAAAAAGAAAGAAAAAATATTTAATTTTCATATATTTAGCTATTTCACTGCTTTTGCCCAACACTAAATTTCAGGACAATATTTCAAATACACACACACAACACACAGATTTACATTTATATTATATATTTATGTATAATCACATACTTTCAGTAGTAAAAATGCTTGCCATAAAAAGGTAAAATTACTTTCCATAATGTATTTGTAAAACAAGGTTTTTATTCTCTTCATTTAAAATGGCCATTTTCTCATTGCAGGAAATTTAGAGAACTCAGAGATACATTTGAAACATTCCCAATAGAACCGTGATTACACTTTGATGCATTCCGTTCTGGTTGTTTTCATTGTTGTTGTTTTCAATTCCATTAACTTCTATATTGTTAGAGGGTCAGTTGGTTAGAAATAGCTGTTTGCCTTTAGCCAAACTCTCAGGGCAGTACACGATTTGACTGTCTTTAATGTGTTTGATGTGTCTAATGTCTCAGTTCAAGTAATCTTTTAATGTCTCTCAGTATAAAAATCAAACAAATGATTTCTATCGTCCTCTCACTTTTCCCAGTTGGCATGAATTCATGCCTTACCCAAAGTTACACTAGAAATACTCATAAAAGGGGCTGGCAGGTGGCATGGTGGTTAAGGGCACTGGACTCCCACATGGCCTGCTGTGGTTCAAGTCCCAGATCTGGCAGCTTGTCTTCTTGCTTCTCTCTCTTTCTTTTTCTCTCTTCCTCTGTCCCTCTCTGGTTAAATTAAAATAAGTAAACAAATAAATAAAGTTGAAGAATTCTTTTAAAGTTTAAAAAATAAATTAATAAAAATAAATCTTTTTAAAAAAGAAATACTCATAAAACATTTTCCCCTGAGAAAATTAAGCAAAGTTGGGGCCAGCAGTTAGCGTAATAGCTATGTCGCTGGACTCCCACGTAGTCAACCGCGGCTCAAGTCTGGACCCAGTGACTTAAACTCACGCCCGGTGCATGTGCATGTGTGCCCAAGATCCCAAGAGGAGAATGGAAGAGAAGGGATTGTGGCGTGGATATCCCCCCTGGGGGGGTGATTTCTTGCTTTCTGTCTCTCTGTCTCTCTCTGTCTTTCTGGCGAGCACACGCGCCCTATAGCAAAAACCTTTCAAAAAAAAAAAAAAAAAAAAAATTAAGCAAAGTGAGTCAAAGTTGCTAGAGATGAATACATGTAGATAATCATAGATGCAAAAAAAAAAGAATAAAAGATAGAAAACTAGTATTTATTGACTGTTTCCTATATGTCAACCACTATACTAGGAGTCTCATATGTGTTATGTTTTATTATGTGTGTTAATTTGATTAATCTTCTCATTGGGTTTTTACCCAAATTGAGAATTTGAAAGGAAATATAAAAGGTAGGAGTTAGGGGCCAGCCCATGGTGTAGGGGTTAAGGTAGCTCCCACATGGTCAATTGTGCAGTTCAAGTCCTGTACTCCCTTCTAGGGACCTTTGTTAGATCTTGAGACTGGGTCTGGATTATGCTGCTGAATTAAGTATTCCTTAAGAAGTGCAAGACGGGCAGAGGAATCCTGGATGGCATCTGTGAATTTTTGTCGCCTTCAGTCTTCCATAGAACGGCTTTGCTGTTTAGCAGGGGCAAAATGGGAACAGAGGAGGAAGCACCTTTTGGGTGTCCACAAAGAACAAAGCTTCCATTTCTGTGTTTGTACGCACATGTTCGCAGACTTCTGTGTGTGTTTGTAACTGTCGGGCGTAGTGCTCAGCCTCCCTCCTACCTTCCTATACTGCCTCTGCTCTGTCGTCCCCAACCTAGAACTTTTTCCTTTCTCTGTTTTTTTCTTTTTCTTTTCTTTCCCCAATTCCTCTCCTCCTAGGAAAACCCCACAGTAACATTGACCAGTGTTTCTCTGTGTATGCTACAGGTACCACCATCCACTCTCTGGATACGTCCTGAACCCAGACTTACTAAATCAGACCTGCTCCCAGAATAGGGAATAATAATTTGTACTTTTATAACTACACCTCATAATTTTTTTTTTTGAGAGGTTTTCACTACAGGGCGCATGCACTCACCAGACCGACAGAGAGAGACAGAGACAGAAAGCAAGCGAGAAATCACCCCCAGGGACGATGGTCATGCCGCAATCCCTTCTCCTCCATTCTCCTCTCAGGATCTTGGGCACGCATGCACACGCGCCCAGTGTGAGTTTTTAGCCACCGGGTCCGGAATGCAAACCGTGGTCGACTATGTGGGAGTCCAGCGACATAGCCACTACACTAACTCCTGGTTCCCGTCATAATTTTTTTTACACACATTAAAATGTGTGCCCTGGGGACTGGCAGGTGGCGTAGTGGTTAAGGGTACTGAACTCCCATATGGCTGACAGTGGTTCAAGTCTTAGACCTGGCAGTTTGCTTTCTGACTTTCTCTCTCTCCCGCTTCCTGTTTCTTGCTCTTGGTTTCTCTCTGTCCCCCTACATTTTTAAAATAAGTAAATAAATAAATAAAGTTAAATAAAATAATTCTTTAAAAAAATATATGTGCCCTGGGGCCAGCAGGTGGCATGGTGGTTGGGGCACTGAACTCTCACATGGCTAACCACAGTTCAAGTTCCACACCAGGTAGTTTTCTCACTTTCTCTCTCTCTCTGACTGTCTCTCTCTGAAGAGCGTATGTGCCTTATAGCAAATTAAAAAATAATAATAATAAAATTAAATAAATAATTCTTAAAAAAAGAAGATTCTCTATTTCCCATACTGATATTATTAATCTCTTTGTTCTTATCAAACAAACAAAAATAAAAATAAGTCAGGCTGACTTAGCTGGTCATATAGAACATAGAACTTACCTTTAGGCTAGTGATCAAATTCCTCGACAAATCTAAAGATCGGAGATTTTTAAAATTTCTGAAAGCATCACCAATGGAATGAATTTTTCCAGCATATGATCCCTGCAATGAAAGAGACTCCACCAGTTCTGAAAAGAGATCAGTAGATACATTATGGTATCTGCTGAGATAAACAGCAGAGCTCTTGAGAGTAGGCGTTCCTTCCTCCCCGTTCCCAGCTGTGAAAGGCCCCATAGCCACGGCTCATAAGGAGATTAGATTTTTTTAAAAGAAGCAAAGACCTAACACAGTAATACGGAACCTCTGTTTCATAGAGCTCTTGGGTCTCTCTAAATATCCTGAAGGATGTAGTAAAAGTCTCTGAAGGCTCTCAAAAAAAAAACTTACAAAAGAAATTCAGCAATCGCACTGCTAGGATTTAGCCCTATAGGTAATACTCACAAGATTTTTTGACAAGATATGTAATAGATAACACAAAGACATCCATTTCAGAGAAGTTTTCAAAATTTATTTATTTACATTTAATCACTTCTTTACAGTGCACAACATTTCTTTTTCTAGCACAAATACTATGCATGTCAGTCAAGCCAAACATTTCAGAGAAATTTTAAGGTAGTAAAACAAAGAAAGAAAAAGAAAAACGTCAGTGTCCATCAGTAGAGAGTAGAATTAGACAACCTACATAATGATACATCAACACAAAGGACAATGTACCAGATCTTTGCCCTTGTTTCTTTTTTTTTAAAAGAGGTTTTGCCTTAGGGTATGTGCACTCACAGAAGAGAGACAGACACAGTGAGAGGAAAAGTGAGAAACCACCCCCCTCCCAGGGAGGATGGTTATGCCACAATCCCTTCTCTATTCTACTCCAGGGATTTGGGGCATGCATGCACACACTCCCAGAGCAAGTGTCAAGTTACTAATCTGGGACTTGAACCGTGATCAGCCATGTGGAAATCCAGCCATTTAATCAGTTCTCCATCTGCTGGTCCTTGCCCTTATATAAGTCATTTAACCTGTGTATCAGTTTCCTCATCTGTAAAATGGTGTTAATAACAGTACTTAATTCATAAACTGTTACAGAATTAAGTTAATGTACAGGGAGGAGGAAGACCAGGCAATGATGCATCAGTAAAACACAAAAAAGAAAGAAGGTCTGAAGGCACTACAATAGTCTAGGCCCCATAAACACTAAATAGTCATAAACCAAAGCTCTCTTTCAATATAAGACCCATATCAGGGAGAAATTAGTGGGACTAGAATCTGCAGATCTCAGGAAGCACAGCTCATACTTTCTAGAACTTTGAGAACACAACAGAAGAGGGAGCTTCAAAACCTTGAAACTGGAAAAGCTATTTCGTCCCACCCTTACTATTCACAAAGATAAACAAATCTTACTGTACTTCAAGAACCACAGAAAAGGATTAAGGTCAAATTTTATGATGTTATTATTAGAAAAAAAGAAAACAAACAGAATAACATTGCTAAAGAATGAAAGCAGGGACCAGCAGTCGGCATAATGGCTATGTCGCTGGACTCCCATGTAGTCCCAGACCTGGTGGCTTAAACTCATGCTAGGTGCATATGCGTGCATGCCCAAGTTTCCAAGAGGAGAATGAAGGAGGCGTGTCCCCCTACCCCCACCCCGGGGGGTGATTTCTCACTTTCTGTTTCTGTCTCTGTCTTTCTGGCGAGCGAGCGCATGTGCCCTATAGCTGGACAAAACAAATAAAAACTGTAACTTAACATTTGAAAACAAGCTAAAAGATATTTTAAAAATATAGCAGTTCTCAAAAGTATGGTTCCTAGGGGCCAGCAGATGGCACAATGGTAACATCACCAGACTCCCATCTGCTTGACAGCAGTTCAAGTCCTAAACCTGGCTCACTCCAGGCATGTGTGCCCAAAATCCCAAGAGGAGAATGGAGAAGAGACTACAGCATGGCTATCCCCCTGGGGGGTGATTTCTTGGTTTCTGTCTCTCTGTCTCTGTCTCTCCAGCAAACACATGAGCCCTATACCAAAAATCTCTTTTAAAAAAAAAGAAAAGTGGGAACCAGCAGTTAGTGTAATGGCTATGTCGCTGGATTCCCATGTAGTCGACCGTGGTTTGCATCCTGGACCTGGTAGCTTAAAACTCACGCTGTGCGCGTGTGCGTGCGTGCCCAAGATCCCGAGAGGAGAATGGAGGAGAAGGGATTGCGGTGTGACCATCCCCTCTGGGGGATGATTTCTCGCTTTCTGTCTCTATGTCTCTCTCTGTCTATCTGGTGAGCGCATGCGCCCTGTAGCGAAAACCTCTCCAAAAAAAAGAAAGAAAAGAAAAGTGAATGGCCCAAATCCAAAACTTTGACAACGCCGAATGTTGCTGAGAAAGTGTGACAACAGAACTCATTGCTAGTAGAAACGCAAAACAGTGTGACTAATATAGAAGACAGGTTGGCAATTCTTTTTTATTTTTTTGAGATCTTAGGCACGCATGCACATGCATCTAGCGTGAGTTTAAGCCACCGGATCCGGGACTCAAACCTTCAAACCGCAGTCGACTACATGGGAGTCTAGCAACATGCTCAGTATGCCAACTGCTGGTTCCAGATTGGCAATTCTTACAAAGCTAAACACAATGTTACCAGATGGTCTAGCAGATCTCTTGGTATTTACTTAAATGAGCAATTGCCAAAACTTGGACGCAACCAAAATGTTCTTCAATAGGTAAATGAAGGGGCCACCAGATGACATGGTGGTTAAGAACACCAGACTCCCACATGGCGAACTGTGATTTGAGTCCTAGACCTGGTGGCTTGCTTTCTCACTTCCACTCTCTCCCCCTTTCTCTCTCTCTGGTCAAATAAATAAGTAAATAAATAAAATAATTCTTTTAAAAAAATAGGTAAATGAATAAACAGACTATGGTAAGCCCGTAGTGTAGGATATAATTCAGTAATAAAAAGAAGTGAGCTATCAAGCTACGAAAAGATATGGGGGAGCCTTCAATACATACTGCTAAGTGAAGGGAGTCAGTCAGAAAAGGTTACATACTGCATGATTCTGACATTCTGAAAAAGGCAACAATAAAAAGGTGAGTGTTTGTGAGAGGTTTGGGGTGAAGGATGACTAAATGAAGCACAGGGAATTTTGTAGGCAGCAAAACTATTTTGTTTGATACTGTAACGATGGATACATGACATTATATATTTGTCAAAGTCCATAGAACTGTACAACACAAGTGTGAACCCTAATAGACTTGTGTTAATAACAATGTACAATGTATTGGTTCATAAATTTTAACATATGTTCAATACGAATGTAAGAAATTAATAATAGGGAAACTGCTGGTGGGGGGGGGATGCAGAGAGTTGGGAGGGGGAAAGGATATATGGAAACTCTCTGTACTTTCTGTTGAATTTTTCTGTAAACCTAAAACTTGTAGGGCCAGCCTATGGCAAAGTGGTTACCATGGCTGGATCCTACATAGCTGAGTGCCCGGTTTGACTGCACAGTTTGAGTTTCAGACCTGAGAAACACATCAGGCACAAGTGCACGTGTGCCTAGGATGCTAGGGGAGGAAGAGATGGAGAAGGGATAGAGATATGACTACTCCCCACAGGGGGCAGGGGTGCTTTCTCTCTTGCTCTCTCTGCCTGGCAAGCACACATACCCTCTGGCAAATTAAAAGCAACAAAACAAACAAACAAAACTTACAGAAATTAAAGTCTATTAATAATTTTTAAATTATTATTTATTTTATTTTATTAATTATTATTTTTATCTTGATTGCTATAATGCACATGCATTCACCAGAGAGAGGCAGGCAGTTTGATTGCTATAATGAACATGCATTCACCAGAGAGAGGCAGGCAGAGAGAAAGAGAGAGAGAGAAGGAAAGTGAGAAAGCAAGCTGCCAGGTCCAGGACTAGAACTGTGGTCGGTCATGTGATAGTCCAGAGCCTTAACAGCCACACCACCTGCTGGCCCCAGTCTATTAACAATTTTTAAAAATAAGTAAATTACTAGGGACTAGCAGACGGTAAAATGGTTACATTGCTGGACTCCCACGTAGTTGACCATGGTTCAAGGTCCTAGACCCAGCGGCTTCCACACCAGGCATGTGTGCATGCGTGCCTAAAACCTCAAGAGGAGAATGGAGAAGAAGGGATTGCAGTATGGCCATCCCCCAGGGGGGTGATTTCTCACTTTCGGTCTCTCCAGCAAGGTCATGTGCCCTATAGCAAAAATATCTTAAAAAAAAAAAAAAGATAAAGTAAATGAATTACTAATACATGTCAAAATATGGATAAATCTTGAAAATATCATGCTAAGTGAAAGCAGCCTGATAGAAAAGGCCGTATTTGACTCCACTTACATGAAATACAAAGAAGAGGCAAGTCCAGAGAGAAAGAAAGCAGATTAATAGTTGCCAAGGGCTACAGGGAATGGGAAACGAGGAGTGAGTGCCTAATGGGTTGATGAAAATGTTCTAGAACAAGATAGTAGTGACTTGATGGTTGCACAACATTGTGAATGTATTAAATGACCCTCAGCTGTACACTTACGACAGTGACTTGGGCCAGCTGGTGGTGTGGTGGTGAAGGTGCTGGATTCCTTATGGACAACTACACAGTCTGAGACCCAGACCTGGTGGCTTGAAAAACACACCAGGCTTATATGTGTGTATGCCCAAATCCCAAGAGGAGAATGGAGACGAGATTGTGGCATGGCCATTTCTCCTGAGAGTGGGTGCTTTCTTACTCTCCCTGTCTTCCTCCAGCAAGCACACACATGCTACAGCAAAATGGTACCACAAACCTTGTTAAAGCTTTTTGCTATGGAGCACGTGCACTCACAGGAGACAGAGAGAAAGTGAGAAACCACCCCTAGGGTGGATGGTCACACCACAATCCCTTCTTCTCCTGGGATTTTAGGCAGGCACACACACATGTCCAGCATGATTTTTAAGCCACCAAGTTTAGTTCTTAAACTATGGTAGGCCATGTGGGAGTCTAGCAGCTTAACCACCATGCCACCTGCTGGCCCAATAAAAGGTGACTTTAATAGCATGTTAATTATATCTTTTTTTTTAAGCATGTAAATTGAGTTTTTCCGAAGTGAATATACTTCGCACCAGTC